TTAGTGCCTGGCTTTTGCTGAGGTTGGCTTTTAATTCAAGATCATCCTGCCTCAGCCTCCCGAGTAGCTGGGACTACAGGTGTGTGCCCCCATGCCCTGCACATCTCATTAGTTCTAAGCACCTGCCTGTTCTTGTGGGAAACCTGGCTTCCCCCAAATCTGCCTCCCCCTAGCCTAGGTTCTGGGAGCCCCCTCAACCTGCCTTCCTCCGTATGGGCTGCCACTTGCTCTGGTTTCAGTGTCTGCGGTCCCAGCACCACCATCTAAGCACTGCTCAGTGGCCCCACCACCTGCCCACCCCTCACACCTTCCTTAGAGCAATGGCCCCAGTCAGCAGCCTGGTTCCAAGAGAGGAGGGCAGCCCCCCTCCCGGGGTGAGGAGAGCACAGAGGGCAGGGCCTCACAGCAGGGCTGCTGGGGACCTCAAGGGCCAGATTTAGTGAGCTAGCTCCAGGGCAGCACATGCTCTTTACACACAGCCATTCTCTCTCCAGGATCAGTGGGTCACACAGGGTCTAGTGACAGCCACTCTACCCAACCTGGAGGGTCTCTCCCACTGACCCTCAAGCCCTGTTGTGAAATCTGGCTTGTTTTGTTGACAGTATTCTTTATTTTGGGGAAACCCCCATTTAATGACTGCCAAAACCATTCCTGTATGTCTGGAACCCTTGACACAATTCAGATTTCCCCTAGCAATGACCAGGGGTACCATTCTTTAGCCCCCTGCAAGCCAGTGAATGCAAATACATACCTCAGAAGAAGGGTGTCAGTAGACTACTTAGGTTTGCTGCAACCAATCCTGGACTCCTCGCCCTGTCCCCAAGACATGTGAACTGCCTGGCATATAGTAGGCACTAAATAAACAGCTATTTCTATCAATTTTCTCATCTGCAAAGTAGAGATAATATTAAAATAACAACTCACATTCACTGTACCCTTGTTCTGGCCTAGGCAGTGTTCTGAGTTTTTTGCTCTATTTTGTGGCTTCTGGGAATGGGACCCAGGGCCTTACCTTGCCCATGCTAGACAAGTATCCTACCACTGAGCTACATCCCCAGCCCCTTACTGAGTTTTTTTTTTTTTAACATGTATTAACTCATGCAGAATTCACAGTGACTGTTTCTGTTCTCATTTTACAGATGAGGCACAGAGAGGTTAAAGTAAATTGCCTGGCCACACAGTTAAGTAGCGGGATTCACACCCAGCAGTCTGGCTTTGGATCCTGTAACCTTAACCAACACAGTGTCCACACTGTCGCTCAGGATTGCTGAGGGTTCCAATGATTCTATATAATCTGGTCCTCTGCAAGCACTAGGGGCTGATGCTCTGGGGGTTCAGTGCTTTGGAAGGAGAAGGGGCAAAGTTGAGGACAGCGTTTCCCTCAGCGTGAGTCATGGTCATGGTGGTGGGACTTAGGGACTCTACAGACTGCAGTGGCTGCATTTCCAGAAAGGAAGCACTGAGAGCCGCTATTTTGGCTGCCTAGGTCTGAGGGGAGAGGTAAAGAACAAGGACATCAGCCTCCCTTTTGTGTCTCCCTCCTCTCCCAGCTGGGACCCACAGCAGGGGGTGGTCACCAGCAGGCTGCCTTCACACTCTGTAGGCAGCAGTCTCTGCTTCTTTGGCAGGGTACCCACCATGGGGAGAGGATGCCAGCCTCCCAACAGCAGCCTCAGAGAGGCCCAGGTCACTTGGATAGAAAGGGGGGAATATCTTGACAGCTCAGGGAGACTGCAAAGTCCTCTCTGGGACACCTCTTCCTAACATGACCCTGCCACCCAGGAACCTGGTCCTGCAGGGTTGGATTGGAGCCCAGAGCTCCAGGGCAGCTCCGGGACTTGTGTGTGGGAGGAGCGCGAGTTGCCATCTCACTGGAACAGGGAGGGGAGAACATTTTATTTTAGTCTGTGGACTTAGCCGAGGTGACTTTGGGGGGGATGCTGACAGAGATCATGAAGGAGGCCAAAGCCCTCCCTCCCCTGACCACCCCAGCTCAGCCACTGACTGACACATGGCTCCCAGTCCTGGGTTGCTTTGGGATGACACCAGCGGCCAAGCCAGGGATAGGGCCAAGAAGCCTGTGCTTGGACTGCAGCCTTAAGAGGCAGAGCTGGCATTGGGGACAGAAGCTGCTGGTGGCTGGGGCGGCTTTCTCCAGGAGTCCTGGGGCGGGAATTGGGATTTCAGGGACCAGTAGAGAGGGGGACATGGGAGGAGACAGAATTTGCCCAAGGTCACACAATGTACAAGGGCCAGCGGCAGGGTTCGAAGACACCAAGCCTCATAGCTACTGAGCTATTTATGGAGGGGCTGCCCAGGGCTGGGGGAGCAGAGGGTCCTTACCCTGTGGATCTTACAGTCTAGGGGGGAGGGAAGCCGAGCATAAGATAGGACAAGAGTGACAAGGCTGCAGAGGAAGGGCACAGGGTGCATCAAAGAGAGGGGCCAGGGGGCCAAGACCGGCAGGAGGAAGATGGGCTAGCATGGGAAAGGGGGTGAAGAGGATGGGGGTCCTCTACTATTAGGACCCTGCAGCTCAAGACAGCGCAGCACGGCCAGGCTCTGCTGTGCACAGAGTTTGGTAGGGCCAGAGAGGGGAGAAGGGCACTTTCTAGAGATGCTGGTGCAGGAATCCCACAGGAAGAGGATAGGGAAGGAGGGACAAACAGGACATAAGAGCTGCAAGGGAGGAGGGTGTACCTAGCCCATGGAGATTGGGGAGGATCACAGTCTAGAGTCCTAAGAGCTAGCTCCATAATCTGTGACCTTGGGCCCTTGGGTGGGTCACCCATGTTTAGGGACTTCCTATGCCTTAATGAAGCAAATAATTGACCCCTCCTTGCATCCTGAGATTGTTTATGAGCATCTGGTGAAATTAAGACCATAAGGAGAGAGATCCTGTAGGACCTCAGGAGGCCCTGAGCAAATCCAGCTGGAAAACTCAAAGGGACTCTGGATGTTCCCACCCCACCCCCCAAGCTTGACCCAGCCCCTCCTGTGCAAATGTCACCTGGTCCTTCCACACTCCTTCAGATTCCACTGCCCCTGGAGGGCAGGCAGCAGATATTAAACCCAGGTGCTTTCTGAAGGCACAGATATGGCCTTCAGGAACTCTGCCCTTTCTGTCTGTTTTACTGAAGGCAGCCATGAGTGAGGCTGAAGGATCTTTTAATTTATTTTATGATAAGAACGAAAAGGATCATTTCATCCATCCCCAGGCATCCAGGTAGTGCTGGTTTCCAGTCGTGAAGGCACAGGCCTTCTCTGTCAGGTAGGATGGTGTCACAGACACTCAGCATCAGGGAGTTCTGAAGTCTAACTTGACCATAACCTGCTACATCTTCAGTGTGGTGGTGATGGGGGGGGGGAGGTTCCAAGGAGAAGCAGAAATGTTCTTCTGCTTGCCCACCCATCTCAGGTGACAGGGACCCCATCAGTGTGTGTGTGTGTGTGAGTGTGTGTGTGTGTGTGAGTGTGTGTGAGTGTGTGTGTGTGTGTGTGTGTGTGATCACATGCAGCAGGGGGAATCCCTAATGCCCTCTTCTGAGTAGATTGCCCTTGAGCTTTCAACCCTCAGGTTCCCTTTTCCATATTAAGAATGGCAAGGGTCAGCTGAGCTGACCAGATCTCAGGAGTCATTTCTTACCTTTATCATGTGCGCCCGCGCGCGCACACACACACGCACACACCCTTGACAGCACTCATGCCAGGGGTCCCGTCCAGGCTCATGCTGCCTCCCAGGGCCTGAAGCCTGGAAATCCCCGAATCAGCTTTTCTGTAGACCTGGGGCCATGACTAGCGCGCTGCTGCCATTCTAAAGAGAGGCTCCGGCCTGCGCAGGAGCAGGGCTTGCTGCAGCACTGCAGTGGCACAGCTTTGGGAGTGATGTAGGCATCCTGGGGCTGGGGACAAGTGGAGGAAGGGAGGAGGAGGGGATTTGCTGAGGCTGTGGGGAATTTCCCAGGTTCTACAGATTGGGTGGGGATGAGAAGGCCTGACTGAGTGCCCAGACACACAGGCCTACAGGAATTTGGGGGGGGGGATCACTTCCTTGGTCAAGCCCTAAACTTAATTCATGATTCTGAGTGTGCAGAACAGGAGGAAAAAGGAAGGAGCTGCTGCTGACTGTGAAGGAGGCTGAGGGCCAGAAGGCCAGGGAGGGCTAATGGCCTGACAAAATTCCACCGGCTGAGCTCTTCCGAGGCCTTAGCAGGTGGATGCTGAAGAGAAGATGAGGTGCAATGAGGCCAAGAGGGACACCAAGCTCCTGGGCCTCCTTGCCCTCTGGCCCTTCCTCTGCCCATGGTGGGCGGAGGCCTTGCCTTCCTCTGGAGGGACAGTGCAGAGTGGGCCTGGTAGGGCAGAGTTGGTCTCCAGGGTAGAGCGCTTTTGGTGTGTCCTGTCCCACAGCGAAAGCGAGCACAGGGTCCCTGGCTGGCAGGCACCGTGCCTCCTCCCTTGCCTGGCTCACTCCACCTCCCTTTCTCCCTTCCCCAAGTGACCCAAGGAGAGCCCTGGAAGATTCTACTCCGACCTCCCGGATGAAGTGACGCAGGGGACCGTGGACTGCAGGGGACCACCTCCCCTTCCCCTCTAGAGTCTGCCTTTTGTTCCGTCTCTCCTCTTCTCCCTCGACTCGGGGAAACCTTCATCAGTGTCCCCTGAAGCAAATCCTTCCTCTCCCACCCCTCCCCTCAACAGTTCGACAGCAGGGAGGTCCCCTTCCTCCCGCCCCTCCCCCAGCCAATCCCTTCACGGAGAGGCTCTTAAAGCTCGTGGGTGACGGGATGGGGTGGGGAGTGTCGCAGGAGGGCACTGAGGGGCGGGGACTCCTCCGCAGAGCTCGGGGAGCCCCATGGGGCTCCTGGCCAAAGCCCGCCCCGCCCGCCCCAAACTTCTGTAACGCCCGCCCTGCCAGGTTAGCCCCCCTCCCCCGTGCACACTCCTCCCCTCCCCCTCGTGCCCCCTCCCGCGGGCTGGGCCGTCCCGACTGGAGAAGGCAGCGGAGCGGAGGCGGCCTCCCCGCACCGGATCGCCTGAGGCGGGGTCCCTGCGGTTTGCGGGATCGCCCTCTGAGGGGCCAGCACGGGCTGTGTGCAGGCGGATGTGAGGAGCATGTCAATTGGCGGGCGGGGGAAGCGGGATCAGGTTGTTACTACTGCAGAGAGAGAGAGAGAGGGAGAGAGAGAGAAGAGCGAGCAAGAGAGAGAGCGCGCGCGCTAGCAAGAGAGGGAGCTGCAGGCGGCAGGAGAGCTGCAGCGGCCCGGCCGGCTGCGAAGTGGGAAAGAGGGACCTCGACTTCAGGACCCCGGGGGTCCCCTCCGTTCTTCCTGTCACCAGCTCACACCGAACTGCCCCGAACGTCCCTGGTAAGAGGGAGCCCGGGCGGGGCACCTTGCGAGGGCAGCCCTAGGTCCCCAGCAAGCCACGCCCCGACCACCAGCAGCCTTCCCAAGGGACTGCACCGTGGGCGGGTGGGTGGTCGCCGAACTGGGACCCTCTGACTTTCTGGGCTTAGCGCTCACCACGAACGAACTAACTGCAGGACGGTGCCCACGGTGGGAGCCTGGTTTCCGGAAATCCACTTGCTTGGCAGTCCCTGGGGAGGTGGCCTGAATTATCCCGGGAACCCCTCGCCCTTCCACCTGTCTCTCCTCGCGAGCCCGGAACCGCGCGGGGGGAAGTCGGGGGCGGCCGTTGTGCCTCCGCGGGGGGACCCGGACACTAGCTGGAAAGCGAAGGCGCTCGCCCCTGAAGGGGCGAGGAGGAGGTGGATGAAGTGGGTGTGCGGTGCGAAGTGGGTGCGGGGCACGTGGGACCCCACCCGCCCGCGCCGCAGTGAGGATGAGTTGAAGGATCCCGTGCGCGTGCGGAGCCTGGAGCTCGGGAGCCCCTGGAGAAAAGTGGGGCGCTCTGGGGACACTGGCGGTGCGCAGGGCTCACTGCCCTTCAGCACCCCCTCGCCTGCTGCAGCCATCCGGGACTACGATCCTCTATAACGTCTTTTGCCCCCTCCTCTCCCTGGAACTTTTATCATACTCCAGCCACTCCGTGCTCTGTGCTCCAGGGATCCTGGCAAGCGGAGGCGCTTAGGACCGGAATGGGGAGGGGGGAGAAGGGGCGGCTGGGCAATAGACCGAATGCCCTATTCAGTTAGTTCTGTGACCTTGGGCAAGCTGCTGTACGTCTCTAAATCTCTGGGTGATGGAGGCGCGTGGTGCACCAGGCAGGAATGGGAACGCGGTGGGGGAGGGTGCTCTGGTGAACAAGCCCCTGGGCCAGCCTGCCAGAGCCTCTGCGCCTGGAAATTCGCTGCTTTTAAGATCGCTGGCCTCTGTCTATGGCGAGCTCAGCACACACTGAGAGGAGAGAGGTGACAGTGAGGAGCTGTGAACCCATCCTCCCAGGGAGAGTCCGAAAGCTCCTATCCTGACCTGTCCTATGAACTTAGGCAACTGTTTCCCTTTTCTGACCTCAATATCTTCTTCTGTTAAATGGGGATTTGGAATTTGTGGTATCTGAGTTCTCTCCCAGTCCCAACACTTGCTGGCACATGAGGCCCGTTAAAGAAATAGGGTTGGGGTGTAGCTGGGTAGGGTGACCTGTTCTCTGAGGAGACTGTAGCTCCCTAACCCTCTGCAGAGACAGTGGGACCAGGAGGGTGCAGCCTGCATATCCATCATCCTGTCCCCCTCTCAGGACAGGCTGTCTGAGGGGAGGATGGCTGAGTTCTAGCACCACACACCCTTTCTGCGGAGAGCAGAGCCTCCCCTAGGAAAAGTCTCCCTATGACAGAGAGGAGACAGTAGGCTAAGGGGGGATATCAAGGTCATGCTGTCTGCCCCCGTCCCCCCAGGCAAGACTGCTTCCACCTTAGACAAAGATGAAGCAATCCTCTCTGTTTGGAAAGATCTCCACAAGAGCCCATACTGTGCCACTGTGAGGCTCTAGGGAAGTCCCATCTACCCTTTTCTGGGTGAGCTCTGCTTCTGTCTTCGGTGGAGATGCATTGCTAGCTCTCATTGGGCCTCAGGTGTTGTGGGGAGTCCTGGTTGAAGACACAATAGCTGAGTTTAGTCTACAGGCTCTGCCTCCTGTTTCTGTGACCTTGTGTGACCTTGGACAAGCCCCTTGTTTGCTTTCCTCACCTGTACATTAAGAGGGTTCAACTAGATAACCCTATCCAGCCACAGCACATCTGTGGCTGAAGTTTGGGGCTTGGTGCCTGAGTGGCAGGAATGGGCTTGACCTGGCCATGAGAACAGGTGGTCTGTCCTGCTCATCCCTGGAGTGAGACCTTGGGAAGTCCTGGCTCTTCTGGTTATTAGCTGTGTGACCTTGAGCAAGTGCTTTTATAGCTTTGAGCTTCATTGACTCAACTGTCAAAACACAAGGATCCTGGCAGTGTTTGGGGGGTAGTTAGGAGGATTAAGCAAGAAACATGTGAAATGTTTAGTGAATGGGAGCCCTCTAGGTCCTCACGAGGGGCAGCTGTTGTTAGTAGTAACAATAAAAGCTGGTTTCAGCAGGTCTGGAACAGCTGTGAACAGCGGCTTGCGGGGCAGAGATTTGTGGACTTGGCATCTTCCCTGTGTTCCCGAAGCTTCCCTGCAGACTGGGAGTCCAGGCACTGCTCCTGTCTTCTGGACACTTAGAGTCACCCTGCCGCGGGAACTTCAGGGCAAAGAGAGAACGTGGCTTTCTTAGAATCTCACATCTATTTTCTTCTAGTTCTCCCTTTCACACCCCCTGCCACCGCTGGTCCCTTCTGTTGTTATGACAAAATGGACCTTTTTCCAGGAATGAGCCAACTGAGGACCTGAGAGGATTGAGACTGTCTGTCTCTGAAGTGAGTGGCCAGAAGCATGTCCCCCCGGCTGGGGTGGAGGGCACGGCAAAGGGACTGGCTCATTCTTGGAGGAACTCTCAGTATCCCAGGGCCAGGCCAGACTGCGCGTGCGGGTGGCACTGGTTGGCAGGGCTGGTGTTTGGGTTTACCCCAGGCTCACTGCAGGAACTTAGGCAAGTCACGCCCCCTCTGGGTCTCAGTTTCCTCATGTGTGAAGTGAAAGTTTGGTTTAGGTCATTTGGACCTGCAGGGCTCACTGCCCTTCCCCGCCACCTTATGACAACCTGGGGAGAGATGAAGAGCAAAGGCTTTGTAGATAGACAAATCCAGGTTTCTGTCTGGGCAACAGCTGTGTGAATTTATTGACTCTCCCTGAGCCTCCATTATCTCATCTGTGAAGTGGGGATAATTTTTTCTACCTCTTAGGGGTTCTTATGAAGAAGAATGAAGTGGGAATGATTTATACAAAACACCTAGAGTGTGGGGAGTTCCTAGTGTGATAGTAGGTGCTGCGCCTGGTGTGGGTTTTTGAGGTTCTGTGTCATCACAGAGGGGGCTCAGGTCAGAGGAAGGGCAGGGACAGAGCTCATAGTTGTGCACTATGCACAAGCTTCCAGGAAAACTCTCCAGTTCCCTGTGTCAGACCCCACCCCCATCCCCACTGTGCTCTCCTGGAGTTTGTATGCTTTGGCCCTTGTCACCTGACCTGCTCCCCACGGGAGCTGCAGGGCTGAGCCTGAGCCTGTTGGAAGCAGGACAGGCCACCAGGAGGCTCCTGGTGATGGGGGAACACAAGCCGGAGGCGTGACATCCTTCAATTCAAGGTTAGTCATGAGGAAAGGGCTGTGAAATGAGGTCTTGGAGAAAAGGCTGGGAGCCGGGGTGTGGCCACCATGTGGTATGTGAGGGAACCTCAGAATTTGGCACTGAATGGTCCCCTCCAATGCTCTGGTTCTGATTTGGGGGAAGCTGAGGTTCAGAGATGGGAGCACCTTGCCCAGGATCACACAGCACATTAACGCCCGTGGTAGAGCTGACTGGCACTTTTGGACCCTTGGTCCGGTGTTCTTTCCATCCTCCCACTCATGCACTGAACAGTCATTTTCTGTTTCTTCTAAAATCAGAGCACAAGGTGCAACACTTTGATGGCAACAGGAAGGCATGGGTACTGATAGGAAGGAACGTCCTGATCCAGTTACCACGATCATTGGGTCCAACATCCCCATTTTGTAGATGAGAATGCTGAGGCTCAAGAACATTTAAAGACTAGTATAAGGTTACCCAATGTCAGAGACTTGAATTCCCAGACCTGAGACTTGAATTCCCAGCTACGCCATTTTGCTTCTCCTGGCTCCGACGTGCCACATGGCAGCGGGACAGACAGAACGGGAAAATAAACCTGGATGGGCTTGGGGACGGGAGGCAGGACACAGAAGATCAAAAGACAGAAATATCACTCCCAAGCTGGTGGCTGGCTTTCTTGGCCATATCAGTTGGCCTGTGCTCTGAACTGCCGGGCTGACAGCCTGCTGGCCCTCGAGGGGACAGAGACAATAGTTGCTCCTCCAGGTTGGTTCCATGGGCCATGCTGAGTGAAAGAAAGTCAATATTTGCCCAGTGGCAGCGCACAGGCTGCGAGTCTGAGTTGGGGTGCGGGTGGGGGGAGTGGTTCCGAAGGCCTGGGGGCGGGAGGGCACTTGACTTCTGAAGGAGGCTTTGGATTTTCCGCATTAAATAATCCTTTGTGTGTCAGCGTGTCTGGGTGTCTCCCCGCCTCCTAGAAGCCCTGATCCCTAATAAATTTCCCTTATTGTTTGGAGCTGACGCCAACCCCCACCCCCACCCCGGCTTCCAGCTCCCTGGAGAAATGGGACTTTTGAAGCTTTTGCAGAAAGGCCTGGGAGCAGATGGCCCATTGAGTGGGTCTCAGGCAGGAGCAGGGAGAAGGCTGGCCTCCGTATCTGGGCCCCCAGTGGAGGGAAAGATGTGGGTAAAGTCCTTGGCAGGTCAAGAGCTGCGAATGGTTTTTCTTTCTGCCTTTGTTTGGTTGTCTTTCCATTTCCCTTCTCTGCATCCTGTTCCCTTTCTCTGTGTCCGGAGATGGCAGAAGGGGTGTGGGGAGGAGAGCCAGGGAGCTCAGCCTTCCCCCAACTCCAATGAAATTCTTGAACCCGTAGCAGCTGCCGGCTGCTTTAATGGTTTTTGCAATTGCTGCCGTTGCTCGTAGAATGTGTCTTAGCAATTTAACAAAGGGTGCATTAGGAAGCAGAAGCATTTCTAGTACAAGGTAATGGGGCTATGCTGCAGCAGGAAGGGCTTACATGAGATTCGAGGAGGGACTTCCTACCGTGGGAGTTCCCAGCTCTTGAATCTGCTAGGTGGGCAGCCGTGGGAGGTGATCTACCGAGCTCGCCTGCTCTCTCAGGCATCAGCCAACATTGTGATCTGACTCTGAAAGGGGCCACAGTGACATTCCCAGAGATCGGTGCCACTACCCAAGTCTAAACCTGAGGGCAGCCC